GGTATCAGTATCGGTATCGGTGAGTACCTAAACTGAAGTACTCGTACTTGTASTCAGTCTTGAAAAAACTGGTATCGGGACACCCCTAGATTACACCAAAGTCGAAGGGAAAGTACCAAGGATTGAACCAGACCGTCCAGCAGTATGACACTTAATACGAGAGAACAGTAAGCTAATGGTATATAATGTTCTTTTGTTGTTTCGTAGCTTGCTACTGTTGTTGTGTAGTTAAACTACATAAATTTACTCTCATCTGTGTGATGTAAGCCCCTCGGTCAATGAACAGGCCTTGCAGGGCAGGCCGGCCCAAATAGAACCACAGATCTTAAGATTCCAGAAATCAGGGTGGAACTTGGCCATAAGGGCTAAAGCAAGCATGTTAAACCCGGGTTTAAAGCCAAGTTCAGCAATTTTACTGGGCCTTGCAGTGCAAAAAGGTCTGTAATAGGTGCTTTTCGACTAAAAAGTCCCAAGTCAAACAGTTATAAGAACCTTTCGCACCACCAGTGGAAAACTTTGCTTGTGCAACAATCATTCGAGGGTCCACGTGACCACATCAATTATGAATGTGACCTTCAGCAACAACAATAACAGAGGGTTGTGGGTCTATGGTTTAAATTTTAATGCAAAGACTGAAAGAAAGTTACAAGGAGTTACAGAAAAAAACTCATACATCAGATGATTGGTTTGTGCTGGAAAAGTTCAAAAAGGCAACTCATAAAAGCAAACAATAGCGACAGCAATTTTTACTTTAGCAAAGTAAATGCAATTTTAATATTACAAGTGCAAGAAAAGTGTTTTATTTGCTCAGCCGGTCGATTTTATGGACTTATCACATCCCATCATGTCACTCAAGAGTCATTACTTACTCAAAAAGCAAAAACTAAATTACCAAATAAATGCCATTATGGGTTAGGAACGATAGATGGCTACAGCAAAACGTGAAGAAAAGGCAATTTTGTTACAAGAACTGTTAACTTATCTGTTGCAGCTTAAAAACACCTATTGTTACTTTTATTTCACCAACTATGCCTGCACTATATCTGAGATGTGTTTTCCTGTATGAACTGCCCCATTTTATGAACTTTATGACACCCAGATAACTTATCTCATTAAAAGGTTTAACAAACCCCAAATCCCAATTTAAATTAGCCACAGAAAGGGTATCATATCAAGTCACATACAACCCCTGGTGTTTTTTAGTTTTCCCAGACATAAAGTTGACTTTAAGCTACTCATACATTTCCATGAAAAGCATGCAAGTGAAAACATCAAACTCAACGGGATCGCCTTTGTTCGTGGGCTGCATGCTGGGTGGTGCCTGCTACCATCAGACACCAGGTTCTCAGAAAACTGCAATGCTGCTTTTCTATGCAGTTCTTACATTGTCTTGCTGTGATAAAACTTCTGATAGTCTTGACAAAATATGCCGCCTACCTGACAGAGCCAGTCTTTGCTCTGAGGGCATACTAGTTTAGATGCTGAATTCAAAGAGGCGAAGATGCCAGCACCATATTTGAGCCTATTTTCAAACTGGGGAAAAAAATCACACCCCATACAAGTAAGCTGATGCTGATTTTCCACTGACAAAGACAAGCCTTCAAATCTTCACAGTTTGATTCCGGTTAAAAAGGATTCCTGGATAATGCAAATATCTTGATTTTATTAATAATGCATTTAAACTGTCAGTTCTTAAAACACAAACGTGCCAATGTTTTTTTCATTGCACTAAGTTTCTTGTATGAATAAAATAAAGACTCACTTGATATGATTCAGAAAGTTGAAAAGTTACCTGCAGTCAAACAGTAAATAACCTGAAATATTCATGGACCACATGAGATTCAAAATATTATTTTGTGTTTTTTTTTTTTTTGCAGACATTTAAATTGAATCCAGCATTTGTCATATTTCTAACAAAAAAAAAAAACTTCTTTGTGTGTCTTTTACTACCACTGTCTTATCAGCCAAGCAACAAAACAACATCCAACACACTGCAGAAGAATGTTGCGTCAAGCAGGTATCTCTACCTTTCATCTATGTTATCCTCAAAGCTGCTGGCCATATTCGATATGGATTAAACCTCAGACATGATTGCCATTTAGAGAGGCAAATAGGCCGAGTTTAATCCTCATCTGCAAGCTTGGCCCTCGGCAAGGTAAAATAAGATAACGTCTGCTGCTTTGCTGTTGATGGGTGAAATGCAATTAAGACTTTAGCGTGGATGAATAACACAAAGAGGAGAGCAGCACTGAGAAGTGAGATTTTTGCAAAAGCTTGATACAGGATACCCCTGTGGTGATGGCTGTGGACAAAATATAGACATTTGAAAGAACAAATGAAACTAAAGTATATTTTAGTTCAAGTGAACAATATACCACAAGCACAGTGGGAAATTTGTAAAGTGCAGTACAGATAAGTTATATTATAATCATAAAGTTTTGAAAACTTTCATCAACACTTAAAACCTATCTGTGCAACAATAATGCTACATTTACACCAAACGTGTTTTGAGGATCAGGAGTGTCTGGTTTACATGCAAAGTCAACAGTGGAGCTAGGGGCGTCTAGAAGCCGAGCAGCACATCTGACAAGTTTTGAGCAGTACAGTTCGAAGCGGTTCCCGCGTTTTGAGCGTTTTCCGTGGGTGCGACACATGCAAAGTGTCCAATGCTCAAGTTGGAAAATTTGAACTTTTGCTGCTCGATGCATCGCATCAACCAATCAGAGAGACTCTGTTCAGTCGTACTGGTGACAAGCCAGAAATACCGGAAGCCCGGGAAATCATATCACACAGAATATGGAGGAGAAACTGATAGTCTGATCATTTATGAACATTCCAGTGTTCGTTAGCATGATAGAAATAAAAAAAAAAAACTTTGCCTGGAGGACAATTAGTGAGGAAGTTGGCATGTCTGGTAAGTTATCAAAACTAAAAAAAGGCTCCTCCTCTAGCACGTCTATGTTCACATCAAATGTATCTGTACTCAGAGGTGTGTGTTTTTGAGATTTTTTGAAGGCGTGCAACACGTTTGGTGTAAATGTAGCATCACTGCTTAAATTTTGAAAACTAGAATGGACCACTCTGGAAGCTGGGTGTGTGAAGCGCCTCATTTGCATTTAAATAGACAGCATCAAAACAAGTTCATCTGAGACACACTTCAGAAAACGGGTGAAAAAGGGGCTTGTAGAGTTACAGTAAGGCGCAATTCAGACCAAAACATTCAGTGCCGCTCTATATAGATCCCAACTGAATGATTTAAATGTGAAAAAGGATTTAAAAGTGTGATATGTCTCCTTAAGGACCTCATCAAGAATCTACAAAGGACATTCACATTTTACTGTTTCTTTATGGTGTAGAAGAGTCGTCACACAATAGCAATGTTTACATGCGCAAAATTCTTTGATCGGACTGAAATGTATTCCGATCAACTAATTTGAATGTATCGTTTACACGGACACAATCCGATCATGAGGAGTGTTTACACGATCCAGGCTTTTATTCAGAATAGAAGCACTGACATACACAGAGTTGTCAACTTTCCCTTAAAAAAACACAGAAGAAGAAGTTTTACTTCCATGATGAACATAAACAAACAGCTTCTGAGCTCAGAATTGACCTGCGACAGGTTTTAATAATGGTGGAGATGTTACTGCACTCCCTGATTGAGCTGCAGGTGATGCAGAGATTTATTTATTTATTTATTTATTTTTGGGCAAACCAGCGCACGCTGTGCGTCTTCCTTTTTATTGAATAAGAAAACGGGAGGAAAAGTTCTGTGCTGCTGGGAACTACAACACTGATGTTCCTCCCTCCACAAAAGAGCAGAAACCGGTGGATGAAAATCAGCAGACATGTGCAGTCAGGTCAGTTTTCCATAATCAGAATAAGATGATCAGATTAAGTGTTTACATGCACGTTGTTCGGATTATCAATCGGCATAAACCATCCCTCTCATTCCGATAACAAATTTATTCGGATCGCTCTGAATTGGATCAGAATAATCTGAATGGGGTGTTTACATGACACATTTTTATTCTGAATGGCTATTTAATCTGATTACTTATGTCCATGTAAACGTAGCTACTGTGAAGGAGGACTTTGAAACTTGAAGAGAAATTTAAAAACAGCAACGAAACAGCTACAAACAGAAAGACTACAAAAAAATTCACAACTCCAAACAATAACAATAGTTTCCTCCACTTGTCTCAGCAAAATGCACTTTTGAGATGCAAGTTTCCCTCTAACATGTAAGTTCTTTGTTGCAGTGGAAAAATGGGTTCTTCTTTATAGAGCACTTAAATGATGTATGTAAGTGACATTTAAAAGGTGAAAACAAGATGAGTACCTGAATCTAGAGTTAGATTCATAATGGAAGCCAAAAGTGGGCATAATATTCATGCAAATAGGTTGGTAGATAAAGTGTTCAGTATTTAGATAAAAGCCCAGCGATGACAGTCAGCCCCAAAACGTTTCATTATACCTGGTTCGAGTAGCGCATGCTGACATTGCGTTGATCCTGCCGCGGCACATATCGATGGATGGGATCAATGTCTTTGGGGCTGATTAGCTCATCCACTGGAAAGGTAAAGGACACAAAAACACAACTATGTAAATACAAACATAGTGCTTAAACACGCTTCTATAGGGAGAATAAAAAAGTACAAAAAAAGAACACTCACCTAAATGTACTACACAAATGCCAAAAATCAATCAAGCTGTGTATTTAATAACTGAATGAGACACATAGTACCATCTAACACTGACTTGTATGTGTGTAACAATACATCAATCCACAATATGTTGTTAAAATGATTAATGATTCAATTACATTGAGGCAAAACTAAAACATTGATCTATATTTTCATCATATGATCAATGTAGATCAATATCATATGTCCAGCTAACAATCACTTACTAAATGATTATGGCATTAGATGGGCATACACCAATCCCAGACTTGTGAATTGAATTTTACAGAAATTGTACCATGACAGACTTTGTGATATYGAGAAATATCATGTAAACAAACTATGATGTTGCTGATTTGCACCCCAACTGGCCTGGACGTACCTAGAAGCTTGGCGATGTAGTACATAGCCTGACCCCATAAGAACATCTTGCCGTCTCGGCCCGAGTTGCTTGGGAAACGCTTCTGGCTCCCATGTTTGTTCTGCTCGGCCTCCACAAAATCAGCTGGTACATAGTAGTATTTGGGAATCACAGCATGACCTGGAATAAGAAGAAAAAAAAACTACAGTGAGTTTTGTGTTCATATGGACTGCTTCTTCTCTGTATGTGTCCCTGAGAAAAAAAAAAATCAACATTAACTATAGATTATAAAGAAGACTGTCTACATGGAGTCTGCACTGGTGAAGCACAGGAAGCAGCAGCATCTTCCCACAGAACTTCTGCCTCGAAGTGTAATTTCTGAACCAATTTTGTACTTGAAAAGAACATCTTAACGCCTTGGCGAGCACAGACACAAAAATGGACCCGTATTAAGGGCTCTTTCAATAGTTTCACTAATGGTACCCAATCTTCTTCTTTACCCACTTACTGAAGAATTTTATCTTAAAAACAGGAGACAATTGAAATGTTTTATTAAAACCTGCAATTACTTGGGACGTTTTACTTTTACCAGACTGGCCTGCCAATCTACCGGAGAAAAATAATGAATCTGACAGCTTTGGGTAGTAATTAGTACAAACCAGAAAGTCTTATACTGATGGGAATAACACTGTATCCCTAAAAGTTTCTAAAGTTTTCTCAGGAGAGCTGTGAAACATATTTCTGCAACACTCAGTCAGAGTTCCAGCAGTTAACTTCGCCAACTTCTTGGAAACATCTCTGATAAAGGACAAAATGAGTTCATGCATGATACAGAAGTCGATTCTGTTCAGTGTTTAACGTCAACACAAAAGTGAACGGAGACCCAGACAGGAGCAGAGCTGTGTGCTATTTTAAAGTTCAGCTTTGGTTGATTGTCAACAGTGGGACTGAAATGTATTTCTCTGAGCCAGAATAACAAGAGAATAAATASAGTACATTCTTTCATTAAACCTGAACACTGTAATACACCAGGTAATACCACTGCCAAAAACATTATCTATCATATATAGGTGCCTATCTCAATGTTCTCTCTAAGATATTAACAAACAAACAAACAAACAAACAAACAAACAAACAAACAAACAAACAAACAAACAAACAAACAAAAATTAACTAACATTGTAACAGCTTTTTCACAGTGTTGATTTTGCATCATGTCCTGCCTCCTGAGCACCCTAACAATGTGCTAATCCAGATTGTCATCACTTAGGAGAGTGGAGTTGAGTGGATATATTCCTGTTGTAAATCACAAATGCACATGGACAACTGAGGAGATGGCCTTGARAACTTTTCCAACAATTATATGTTAAAACTCTCTAAAATGCTTTCAMATCACAGCTAAATTTCCTTCTCTACATTCCCATCCACAGCTTGATTAACTGCCATGGACACAGTCATGGTACTGATTAACTGGGACTGAACACTAAAACCTTTTAGCTTAAAAATAATATAACATGCCAATTTGCTAAAAACGTAAGAAGAAAAACAATACAACGCTCTTTAACAGAAACTTTGCCATACTATCACGCTTACATTTTCTCACAAATGTATACTATACTCGAAGTTGAAAAATTTGTGCCCATCTTTGCCTTATTGTGAAAAAAGACAATTAAAAATCATAAACAACTGGCATGACCCTAAATGCAGTCACATTTTTAGAATACAAATAATTTAATCAATTTTCAGCAATCTAAAAAAATAAAACTGATTTAGCAGGTAGTGGTGGTAGTTTACTGTTTGCCACAGTATAGCAGAATGCTGCAGATGCTTCCTTAAACCAAATGGAGCCCATTACTGCTTCTGACGACCACAATCACACATATGGCACTTGACTTTTCATTAGCAATATTAGTGAAGGAAAATAAATAAATACATAAACAGTGCCATTGTGTTTTCCTCTAAAGCCCAACCAATTAACTTGAGGGAGTTTGTTAATTCATACAGAACCAGTACAAAGGCTCTATGGAGACAACTTGGGCAGCTTACGTCTCACATCATTATCTTCTCTGCACTCCAATTATTCCTGTTCTACTGTGTGGGTGCCCCCCTCCCTAAAAAAGAGTCCCAGTTCTTGACACCAGTATTATTTGACTGTCTCCCCTCACAACAATGGCAGCAGGTGAATAGAAAAAGCAGGGTTTTTTGCCTTATAAGAAAAAGGTTGAGTTCATTACAAAGTAAAGTCCTTGTGAGGCACAGTCACAAAATGTGGTGTGTGAATATGTATGACAGGATTTAATAAGAGAAAGTTTTTCATCACTCAGGGGAGAGAGAGAGAGAGAGAGAGAGAGAGAGAGAGAGAGAGGGAGAGAGAGAGAGAATGATGGCAAAAGCTCTAAAATAAACCATGCTGATATTACAAATGAGACAGTTTTATTGCCTGTGTGTGTGTGCGTGTGCGTGTGTACCTTTCAGATTGCCCTTCACTCAAGAGCTGCTAAATTTGTGTGATAACTCACCCTCATAAGACCAGAAGATGATGGGTTCAAGGAGGTCCTGGTATTCTTTGACCTGTGCCTTATTTCCTCTGAACACCCCTGCAACAAACAAACACACACACACACTTTTATAGTTTGAAAGGCTAAAACATTCTATATGTCCTCTGCGTGTGTGTGTGTGTGTGTGTGTGTGCGCGCGCGTGCACGCGTGTGTGTGTTCCTAAATTACCAGATGTTGATTCAAGCACTTAGTATTTCTGAAACTTTGTGTGTCTGAGAGAGTGCATATCATTATTCGTGTTGTGAGGACCCAATCACAAAGGGTTAATGATGACTTTTTCGTCAGGAAAAATACTAAATTTACGAACTATAAATCATTCTATTTGAAACTGAAGACCTGCTATAAAGTAACAGACTTTCAGCATCTGCGGATACGTGCAGCTTAAAAGTCGACATCGGGGGACGTACAAAAAGCTCTTTGAAGACATCTGAATTTGTTGCGACTGTGCTGACTTTTCTGTGAACTTGGTGAGCCGTTGTGTGTTTGTTCAGAAAACTCTCAACAGACATGAATCTGCTTTGCATGCGTGGAACACCTCCACCAAGCAGGTACTTTGTGATCACATATGCAGTAAAAAAAGAAAATAAAAATCCCATTTTTWCTCRTCCATTGTCACCTTTGCAGTTCAAACCTAAAGTATTAAAGTCTCCATAAAATCAACTTTTAAGTGTTTTTGTATTACATTTTACAATTTCAGTCACAGTGATTTACAAGTATTGCGGGCTTTAGTACCATGAGGAACGTCGGGGTAAGCGATAAATGCTAAATCTTTTAGAAAATGAGTCTGCTAGCAGAACTAATAAAAAAAACTTAATCCAGACTCAAACTACATTTTAGGACCAATCTTCTTTTTGCAGACAGATTTTGGAGGTTGCTGACAAATGACCCAAATATACAGACCACTCTGCATTCAATCAACTGTCAACAATAATTGTGTATGCAATCTTCAAAAACATGATTTGTGAGGCTCACTGACATGTTACAGCGTGCTAGTTAAAGTGTCAGATTATCAGGAATAAACGACAGTTTATGGGAACCTGGCTGAGAAAAATGACGGGAGTATACAGTCTCAGGAGCGTTTGGGTAAAAATTGTCAAAAATAAATAAATAAAACGCTCCTGATTCTTTGAGGTTTCCAGCCTGCAGCTTCATGACAGACTTGATTGAAGCAAACCATGCTGCCAAGTCTTTAATGACCAAGTGAGACAAACAAGAGGAGCTAATTCAATAATAAAGTCAGGTTAATGAGACAGACTTGGCTGCCAAACCAAATGTTTAAGTGACAGCTGTAACTGCTGTGGAGATTAAAAATAAATAAAAAATCTTTCATGTAGTGTGAAGTAATACAATCTCAGAACTCCTGATGTTAAGACAAGCTTGTAATAAAGTTTGAACAATCTAACAATTTGATGACATTTTTTACATAAAGAAATCGAGACAGTCTAGATTTCTTGTTTGAACTAAAATTCAAGAGTACATGGTAGTGTGAAATATTTTGCTTGAAGAGATAGTATAAATCTTTTGAAAAGGGGTTTGAGTAAAGTTTATGAACAGTACAGCTTGCCTGTTGTAAATAGCTCTATAAAGCGGACATATTCAAAATCCTTTTTTTAGCCATTAAATGCATTTTGTTGTGTACTTGGCATCTCTACGGGTGCAGAAAAGTTTTATTTAGTCTCTCCCAGTGTAGCGTAGATATCTTTATATTTTGTTTGGGTCATATTTTTCAACCTGTTGAGTTTTCTTTATTTTCTATGACATTCTCTGAAGTATCATGTGAAATGATTTGCGATGGAACTTCTATGTGAGTTGTGGACTTAATAACTAACCAATTTCATCATCTTTATTCTCCTCTGGCTCTGGGTCAGACTCTGGCTCCAACATGTAAGGCTGGATGGACAAGTATTCCCTTGTTGACATATTTTTTATTTATTTGTAAATAAAATGTTTCTGTGCCACTATATAGTCATATCATTGCAATAAAACTAGAATGAATCGCTCTGGGTTTGGGTGTGTGCGGCCTCCATTAGGGGGTGGGTACATGTCCTGGACCTGGGGGGTATAGAGTGTGTATCGGGGGTATGAGTGGAATGTGGCGTCCTTGTATGTCTTTGACTGAGTGGGGGTGAGGATGAGGGTGGGATGGTGCGATTGTGTATGTTTGGGTATTTGTCAGGCTGCGGTCTGGGCTGCCCCTCCTGCTGGTTTATCTGGAGGCCCGCTGCTGCTCGGCCCCCCGGTGGGGTGTGCGGCTGGCCGCCGGCGTGCTGGGGGTTCCCGGGGTCTGGGGCTGGGCGCTGGGGTGTGTGCCGGCCTGGCCTGGTGACTGCCTGTTGGGGTTCGGGGCCTCTGGGCCTGTCGGGCTTTGGCCTGGGGGGGTGCGCCCTGGGGGCCCGGACCTCTGCGCCCTTTCCTGGATCTGCTTTGGTATGGCGGGTGCCGGTGGGGCCCATGAGTTTGTCGCTGCTGGCCCCAGGGGGCTGTGCATGTGGTCGCTGGGGGGACTCTCCCAGTTCTCTCCTATGGTCTGATCTGGGGGGTGGGTGGGCGGATCTTCCCGTGCGGGTGTCCCTTGGGGCTCTGCGCTCGGGATTCCTCTCAGGCCCTTGGACTCTGGTCTTCCCTATGTCTGCCTCRTGTCTTGGGGGTTGGGTCTCGGTCCTCCACAGTCACTATTAAATATTCCRTTGGAGAAATCTTGTATATAYATGCATGTTCACAACTGCTCACGAAGAGGTGCTCTGATCCGGGGGTTCTGACAGGGCACTGAGTGTGTATATATGTCTATGGGTATATACAGACAATATTTATGAATGTAGGCATGTATGTATGTATATCTTTATATATGTATGGGTATGTGTATATTTTTTTATATGCCTTCTATATATTTATCCATTTATTTTTCAGGTGAGCGGACAGATGTTGGGTGTGTGGTCCTGTGTTTTGTTGGTGTATATTTAATATAATCCTAATCGCTATTTCAGTCTTTCTATCTTTCTAATTACTTCTCTCTCTGTTTTTCTCTCTCTCTATTTTCTCTTCACAAAAAAAAACAAAAAAAAAAAAAMAAAACATAATGGTGTGGAGGGGATGGCTATGAGGGGGAAGGGAGGCCATCCTAAAAAAAAAAAAAAAAAAGAATGAATCGCTCTGGAAGCTGGAGGGTGGACAGGTGTGAAGCACCTAGTTTGGATTTAAAGAGACAGCCTCAAAATGAGTTAATCTGAGACACACCTCAGAAAAGGGGTGAAAGTGGGGCTTACAGAGTTACAATAAGGAGGAATTCAGACCAAAACATTGCAGTTCAACTTTATACAAACTCCAACTGAATGATTTAAAAGTAAAAAAGAAGGATTTAAAAGCATKATATGAGTCTTTTTATGACTTCAGGTTAATTTTGACAAGCTAAAGGCTAGTCTAGGCAGGAGTAAATCCAAAGTGATCTGCTGCCATTTAAAAAAATCTTTACCCAAATAATTAAAGAAATGTAAGGAAAAACTAAATTATATATCTTTTTATCATTTTTCATCTCCCAGCCTTAGGTATTTAAATACAATTATATGACTGGAACATCTCACTAAATAAGGTTTTTTATGTATTTCTTAGTTCAGTTTAATAGTTTTTTTGTCTTCAAAAGCTTATAAAGCAAAGAAAACAAAGAAGAGTTGAGATATATTGAGCCCTGAATAGCTTCTGTTACAACTAAAAACAATGGCTAAGCCTATATGAAATAGAACGTCAGTCGAGCTTCAACAGGTATGTTTAATATATGCATGCTTTATTTTTTCAAGAGGGTTAAATCTCTGTGAATTTTATCTGCCCATTTTCTTGAGTACATATGATGTAAATCAAATATTTTACTGATGCCTCTTTCATTCCTTTAAAACCTGGCAAAGAGCAAAATGTAATCTTCTGTCAAATGCTATAAGCATGTCTTGTCCTCCTGAGTCATCATAACCGCAACAATGGATCGAATGAGGCTTACCGTCAATCATCATGTAGATGAAAAACATGGGAAACTCGCACTCGATTCCATCAAAAAGCTGGAAAAAGACAGAGGGAGAAGAGGAATTACTGCTTTTTTTGATTCGTAAAGAACAGAGCTCGAATTTCAAATGACAAAAGGCTGAACTTCAGAAACCTTATCATGAAACAAAAAAAGCATAGAGAAAAGATTAAAAAAGGAATGACAAAGCATAATAAATATATATTATTAATGAAACAAATATCAATGCATCATAACAAGATCAGTCATTTGGTAAAATACTTTGAGGTTTGTCAAACTCCCGTAGAATTTTTGCAGTTTTTCTTATCAACGTCTTTCAGTAAAATAAAAGAAGTAAAAATAAATGTCTAAAGGGATAGTCTGTTCATTTGATGTTCTGTCAAAAAYGTATCAATAGTTAGTATCTTATCTTATATATTATCAGCCATGACATAATTCACAAAATATGCAGTGTTAAGATGTTCTTGATATAAATAGCTGACCAGATTCAGTTCTTTACAATTTATAAAATATTTTTAAAKGTTTATATTATATTTATTTTTAGCTCTGTTGTGGACAATAATTTGGAACATTGCATTTTAAGATTTTTATTTTAGAAAAACATGCTGTTATCATTGGGAGTTTTTTTTTCCAATAATATTCAAATTATACTTGACCATTTGATGACTTGAAAATTATGATAACATTTGCATTAGAAAATTCAAAAACATTTAATTTGCATAATAATCTGGAATGCAGTGCATGTGTATTAAGTTTGACATTTCTTTGAGCAAGAGTTCTTTTATAAGCTTGGGAAACAGCTCAACTTGGAGGAAGACTTCTGTCCTTTTCTTTATAATCTGCTTTCTGTGACTGATGTTGCTACTAAAAGGTACTTACTACTGATAACTATCCGACAGAACATTGCTTCAAAAAACACCAGACTATTGATTATTGGAATGTATCTGCTTAGYTCTCAGATTTTAAAATCTGAATTTTGATATTTTCCTTTTCATTCAAATGACCCATTGTTTTTTATTTTTATTTTAGCCATCTAGAAGTGGTTGTTGTTCAGATGTACCWCTAGTGCCCTTGAAAGAGTCGCACAGCTGTATTATGATGGTGTTAAAGAGATATAAAAAGTGTTATATGGAGCTATTATGAGGAAGACAACTGCAGGTCTAAATGTGAGCAAGTTTATGATACAAGGACAAATAAATGAAGCACTCTGAGGGCTAAGACAAAGCAGAGGCCTACTCTATGCTTGTAGGTGACTTAAAGAGAAGTCCTCTCATTCTGCAAGAATCTTGAAAGCAAAAACAACTGATAAACACTAAAACAAGTGCAGAAATTTGCAATGCAGAAATATACACATGAGAAGTTTGATAAATGTTCTTAAACCAAGAGTGTTTCTTGTGGTTTTAGGTTTWAATTAAAGTTATTCCTGATACATTTTGGGGCCCGATGACATAATGATTTTCTGTCAACTCGATGCAAAGACACCTAAAGACAGCATGTTGCTGAAGGAGAGAACTTTCCAGAAAAAAAAATCACTTTAATAAACAACCTTGTGTGGCTTTTTTCAGCTTTTTCTTATCAGCAGACTTTCTATTACAGTCACRCCACAGGGCCTGCTAAAGTTATTCATGATTTGTCAGAGATGCTTTTAAAATTGGGATCACGTCTTTAAAATCATCATACTTATCTTTATGTTTGCATGAAAACAGCTGGATAAAGCTGACGTGATTTTCTATGAGCCAACAGAGTTGATAGAAACATATTTTTCTAGCATTCTTTCACTGTGTTAATGTACTTTTTTGTAGGCACAGCACAAGAACTGCAAGCTTTTTTTGCTCAAAAAATCTAAAAGTCAGACAGAAAAAAAAATAGTTGTATGCTTTTATAATTACACCAACAGGCACAGAATTGAAGCTTTCCAAAGGAGCGGAAGAAATGAAAAGAACATGCACTTGTTGAAAGGTCATTTGATTGCATTGCAATGACTACAGAATCAGATCAACTGGATAACAKAGTTGATTGGGGGGGCAGTGACCCTGTTGGTCTGATGTCAGGGTGACATACAGTTGAATCCTCTACTGCATCAAGTCAGCTGACAGCTGGAAGTGGCCCTCCAGATCTGGCAGATCTCTAGGGTAAAACATGAGGATGCAGCATGTCACTGATGTACTGATGTAGTGCTGTGCTGTCAGGTTTCTCTGAATCACTACTGAGGTGACCTGGCTCTCCACAGCATGATGCCACAAGTAACTCAGATGTGTCGCTTCCACAGCAATAACAGGATTAGTCTTCCCTCTTTGGTCCCTTGATATTTGCATACAATGGTCACACATGGTACACAACCAAGAATCATCACCGTACATGATACAACACTACTCATCATCAGTCTATGCCTCCTGATTACAGAATTATTGTTAAAAGACAGCTTCCTTAAATGAAGGCAGATCGCTCTGCAATGCCAGCCAAGGTTTTCAACAAAAATCTTATGTGATCCATTTGCGCTCAAAGTCTGTTTCTGGAAGGACTCTCAGCAGCACCAACATTCAACATCTGTAAAAAATGACTAAGTTACAGCCATTTTTGAGTTTGCTAAGGTCAATAAGCTGCTACAGCTATCCTGACTTGGATTACCTCCAATGTGAATCATTGGTAGACAAATGCCCAATGATAATTTTATTTGAATTTTATTAAAGAAGACATATCATGCTTTTAAACCCTTCTTTTTTCGCATTTAAATAATTCAGTTGGGGTCTATAAAAAGTGGAACTGTAATGCTTTGGTCTGAATTCCACTTTAATGTAACTCCACAAGCCCCTCTATCACCCCTTTTCTGAAGTGTGTCTCAGATCAGCTTGTTTTGACGCTGTCTTTTAAAATCCAAACAAGGTGCATCCTACTCCGGTCCATTCCTCTTTGATAGAGAGGTTTATGGCTATATATAGTGGCAAAGAAACTTGGAAGACTTTTCCATACAGCCTTAAGCTACAGTCACACCAAACGTGTCTTGAGCATCTAAAACACGCCCAACACCTCAAGTTAGACACGCTACATTCAGACCGGGACTGAGAGTAGATGCCCATCTGAAGACGGTTTCATGGGAGGAGTGTTTTGGTTTTTTTCCAGTCTGTCTTTAATGGTGGATAAAACAAAGATGAAATAAAGAAAATGTCTTTGTTTTATTTACTGAGAGCAAGCGAACATTGTACTCACCAGATAATTAATTCACCAGATAATTTAGGGGCGGTCTGTTTGGTGAGTTTCACTACTCCAGTAGCTGTGAGATGACAAACTATTTTTGTCCTGAGCCCAGTTTAACACCRCGGCCAGTTTAACAAGCCACTGACCCGCATCGGTGCTAATATCTCCTGCCAGAACACCAACTACAGATGGTCGATTTCAGATAAAGATCTCCGGTCCGTCTGTTTCAGGTTAGTGGGCAACATTCAGGAAATCGTCGTGGAAAAAACAAGTCTATCTAATTGTTTGATGGGAGCGTTGAGCAGCAAATGTTCCAATTTTTCAACTCGAGCATCTGCTGCTTTGGACGCACCGCATGCACGTCAAATGCTCAAACCACACCTGCCGCATCATTGCACGCCGCGCTAAATGTGCGTCCACCATAGACTTTGCATGTAAACTGGCCGCTCCTGTTGCTCAAAACGCATTTGGTGTGAAACCAGCATTACATGTTGGAGTCAGAATATGACCCAGAGTGAGAGGAGTATGAAGATAACAGAACTGTATTTGGTAAGTCCATGCTTTATTTGGCAATCCCATCGCAAATAATTTCATGTAATAGTTCAGAAAACATCACAGAAAACAGACAAAACTAAACGGGGCCAGAAAGACGACCCAAACAGAATATAAAGATGTCTACACAGCACCGGGAGAGAGAAAATGAAAGTTTTCTGAACTCCTAGAGACCCCAGCTAAACAACAAAATGCATTTAACGGCTAAAAAAGTAGACTTGGCATTATATGTCCCCTTTAAATTATGCACTAAAAATTACTCCAAGTGTTTCCACTCGATCTAGCTGAGTAAATGTTTGTGTAAATCATGTTACCTTTACTCAACTTGGTTGAGTGGAACCACTTGACATAACTAAGTAAATTCAACAAATCATTTTTTGAGTGTGTCCTGTGGTTTGAAAGATATTTTATTGATTTTTATTTATATTTTTATTTAAATATTTTTGATGTCATTAAATTAAAATGTTTTTAAAACTAATGTGCAATCATTTACCATATACCACTGTGAATAAATTGTTTGAGTTGTTTGCACTAAAACAACACACCCAGACACAATGTTGTTACATTTAGACTCGGCCCAGGGCTGTGAAGTGATAACTTTATGTGCGCAAATAAATATTCAAGTCTGAGAACTGGATTGGCTTCCTGCATTTAATTTGAGCTCCTAATTKAACTAATTTCTCTCAGGTTTGTGAGATATTCTGCTAACAGACATACATAAAACAACAATACGCAGGTACACAATTTTACAAATAGTAGCTATTTCTGGTGTCAGGCTACAATGAAAAGTCAGACAAACAAATTTTGTTATAAATAAATGACAAATTATCCATTTAAAGTTGTAATAAGATAAAAAAAAACAAAGCAGCAGACAGTTTATCAAGCTATTGTTGATAAGCACAAACCTCAGTGCACAGCATGTGTTTGTGTGTGTGTGTGTGTGTGTGTGTGTGTGTGTGTGTGTGTGTGTGTGTGTGCGCATGTACATGTCAGTCCATCTATCTGTGACTGCGATTTGTCTTGATTATCTTTGTGACCCTCTCTTTGTCAATAGGCCTCACACTGATGGAAGATAACAGAGATTAGATCCTAATGAAAAAAACAAATGCCTAATGGAGCTGACACACATTCACATTCAGAAGCTGCTGTCACTATCGCTGAGCAGATCCCTCTGTCTGAATGTGCGCCTTTTAAATGGTTTGTGTCTTCATGCTGTGATTATGCAGATATGCACCGCCTCGATCTGTGTTTCACAGCAGAAAAAAAACACGAGAGAAGCAGTTGAAGCCATCAGGTGGTAAGAGACGGAGGAGGGGGTGGAAAATGATAGACAGAAACATGCATTGATATATACAGAAGCAGGAGGGGGGTGTTTTCTTTAGTGGCTGAGGTGGGTGGGGGGGGGGTGTAATAGCATTGGGAAAAGCTAAGGTAGTCACTCAATGAGGCCTGTGCTGTTTTTTTTTTTTTTTTTGCTCTTTTAGGCTGTAAACATGCAGCGCTCCCTTGTGTTTTGTGCTTGAGTGGCTTGACTGATTGGTGAAACTGTCTGTCACACAGGTTGCTGCTGCTCTCTGTCAATGGTAAGCAGACAGGAAGCACAGAGGTCTGCCCTGCAACGGATTCTCTTTTAAACACCAACAACAACTTCAATCAATGTCATCTGCAGGGACACCTGGTCAACCTGCGCCCTCRTTTTCCTACAGACGGAGCCCACTCTCTGCAACACTCCAACCCCTTTCTATCACTCTCTGTGGTGGCTTTGTCAAAGCACATAAAACTTCACCCATTATATTCTACGGAGGCCTACTCTTTTTGTGTCGCTTTTAATATGGTATGTATCTACCGTGAGAATTTGTATTTTCTATTTAAAGATTGTATTAATATTCTCCAAGTTTCTGTTTCAATACACAAAGCTGGAAAACCGTAGTCTTGTAATCTTCATTTTCTTCTATAATAAATATATGGCACTGTTTTCACTCATATAACTGGATTCCTGTCTACAGTTTCTGATGATGGAAAAGTAAATATAATACCAGGAGTGAGTAAAACAGAAATGGCAGTGGGATGGCTTCATGAAACTTATCTGGGATCAGTGTCTTCCACAACAAATCTCTGGGCTTGTTGGTGGGAATGAAGGTGGCAAGGAGCCTGAAGTACTGCTTGGTAATTCTGCGCCTCTGAGTCTTTTTATCCTATTAGCTGTAGGATTAAATGAAGCTAATTGCAAAGTGGTTTGGAGTCAGTGCCTTGTGAGTGCCCACTTTGGAATATCAACAAAGCACATCCATCGTCTGTGGTTTATTTAAATTTACTTTTTGGATCAGCCAAAACTTTCAGCCACATACATAAAAACTCTTGCTAATAAACCTGATGACTTTCAAACCCTCTGTTCATGGAGTGCAGTTCATTAGTTGGAGAACTGAGTGACTTTTTAAAAACACATGACACAAATTAATAGCACTTGATCACAGTGAAAAAGTCAGAAATGTAGCACACTAATTCCTCAAAATAACATTTATAAATGCACTTTTTAAAGGTAATTCTGACAAGCAAAAAATGCATAGAATTTTTTTAATTTTTTTATAGAGGTCCTGTTAATATGAGGTTTCCAGTGGTGGACAGTAGTCCCCTAAAGCACTAAAGGGAAACTTAGAACTCTGAAAGACCCACTTATCTGCAGGTTTTCATGGCAGACAATTGACTGGAACTACAAACATAATGTGCAAACCTGATCTATCAAAGTCAATGAAAACAGAGAGGAAGTGACCTAGCATTAGCTTCAGTCAAATCGTTTTGGCCTTGTGTGTTTGAAGAACATGATGCCTTGCAGGACTTCCAAAAAACATAGATGGTAAATGGTAAAATGGCTAATAGCTTGAACTTATATAGTGCTTTATCAACTCCATATGGACCCCAAAGTGCTTTACACTTCAATCATCCATCCGTTCACACACACATTTACACACTAATAGTGATAAGCTACATTGTAGCCACAGCTGCCCTGGGGTACACTGACAGAGGTGGGGCTTCCATGCATCGGCACCAATCTGACCACCATCAGTGGAGATCGTTATGAATATTTCAATTCACAAAAAATCAGTGCAAATCCAGAAATCTCAAAATGTAAATACCTTTAGCCCTCCTGACAGAGAAGGACAGAGTTTTTAAATCAAACAGACTTGAGTTTTATCTGACTTTGTGTTTGCAGAGTTCTCGCTCACTCCCCATCAACCCCCCCCCCCCCATCAACCCATCAGTGCTGATTAATTCAGAGAGGGTAGCTCTGCAGCTAAAGCAATGATTTGTTTAGCACTAAGGGTCCACCATCTGATTCACTCTTGCTATGCTCACTGACCTGATTATGAAGTGAATGCACGTTAATGTCATTTCACAAGATTTCAAGGGGATAAGCGAAAGGACAATAAAATCATGTATGTACGGTACATATGCATGGGCACACATACTGATAAGGTCTGCCTCACACACGTACACAGCCACGTCGATCTGGGGTGAAATATATGAGGGATTAAAAACAAACAAGAAAGGTTAAGTCACAAGCTGAGTTCTTAGCAGCATCTTAGAGGATTGTACCTTTACAGGATTATACCTTTCTAAAGGTTTTCAAATCATAAGCTCATTTAAGATAAACTTATTTATCTAATGCTTGCCATTTTTCTGAAGTAAAATGTGTTTCCTAGACTGGAACTCATGTAAAAGCATCAGTCCTCTGATTAAATTAAAAGAAGGATTGGTACCAATTGCTCGGGCCAATATACTAAGAAAAGAAATGTTGAAATTTAAGAAGTAAAATACCAGATTTTATTTTTCATTTTTTAAATGTATGGTGTGTGAGAGTGTGAGTGTGAGAATAGAGGTACTGTATATTATCTCTTTTATAATAAAATCACATTTCAAATTATATTTATTTATTTAAGTATTTATTTATTTATTTATTTATTTCAAATTCAATTTTGCTGAAGGCTGTGGGAGGGCTCTTGAGTAAGAGAAGACAGGATCACTTTCATAAAAAAAACCTTTCATAAAGGCTTTATTTTGTGCCCTCTTACTGTGCATTTTCCTAATGGAAACAGTGGAAACACTTGTGTGGAGCATAAGGGTGGTGAAGGTTGTAGCTATCAGGGTTACTTCATATTCATATATGTGGACATGGGCTGACCTTGGAATCCTCCCAAAGGAGCTGGAAAAGGCAGCTGTGAAAAGAGCTGCCTGGGACACCTTGCTTAATCTGTTGACTCCACGACTTGATTCTAGAACATGATTGATGGACTGATTGCGGGATTAGTTGATTGGTTGAAGGATGGATGGATGGATGGATAGATGGATGGACGGACGGATGGGTAGATGGATTAGCTGATGGACAGATATATTGATTGGTAGATGGAATAATGGATTGACTGATTGTAGATTGATGATGGACTGATTGATTGATGGACTGACTGGGGGATTAGTTGATTGGTTGAAGGATGGATGGATGGATGGATGGATGGATGGATGGATGGATGGATGGATGGATGGATGGATGGGCTGATGAACAGATATATTGATTCGTAGATTGAATAATGGATTGATTGATTGATTGATTGATTGATTGATTGATTGATGATGGACTGATTGACTGACAGATGGATTGGTTGATTGCTGGAAGGTTGGATGGATGGATGAATTGAAGGATGGAAGGATGAAGCCTTAGGCCTCATTCCATACCAAAGAAAATGACTTAAAATCTGATATACAAAACCTGATACCACAGTGGACAAATTAAGAGGCAGGAAACTATTATATTTATTTACAGATCAAYCTTCCTCTAGTCGCTTTGTTGCCCTATTTTGTTGATGTAATCAGAGTACCTATCAGTACTGGTTCAGACTGACTGAAACATGTGCATAAGTATTAACTAAGAAGTAAAAACCCATAGGAGTAGAAGCACATAATGAAATAAAACGGAGCGATACAGAGCTCCACCAACACACCTTCATTTCAGCAGGTTTGTAGTAGCGCCGATTCTTGTCTTCGTTTGCAGTGCGGTAGCCATCACGGAGGAACCGTTTAAATCCATACTTGCCCCATAGTTTACGGACAATCTTGTCGAGTGTTTGAGTGTAGAGAGCATCATCGTCGACTGCAAAGGCAGGATAACTGATGGTTGGAAGCAAGGCGGCATCTGTGTTCTGCCAGGAGAAAAGATTTACATTAATGGTCCGTCATATTATCATTTTTTGGACTCTGTTACATTACTCACCAAGTATTATAATGTAGAACAGAATAACTTTAATAAAGTTTAGCATATACACCAATTTATTCTACCAGACCCTGTCCTAAATAAGTGTAGATGCTTTCTAGCAGCATGGAAATGAGATTGTGTGATCACAGTAGTAAGTACCACTGCAAAGGTTTCTTTTAAACTGAAGCACCTTCAAACTAAATTGCAACTGAATCCAACATTAGGAAAACATACTCCTGTTATGTTTGAGAAGCTAGTATGACTGGGCATGTAATAATCTTATTTCATTTTTGTTTGGCTCACTCAATTAAGCAATGGAAATGAAAGCTATTAGGTCCCAGCTTCACAGCAAACAGTTATGAATATTTTGACTTTTTCAGTGAAGAGCTATTTCTAAAAATAAACCCCTTGTTTTCCATATTCTGTGAACTCTGCTGCGTGGACATAAAATAATATCGCTGTCTTTCTTTCTGACACACTTTTACAAACTTACTCAAACACCAGCAAAGGATGCTTTTTAGTTCAGAATGTGATTGACTGATATCTGCTTTTGTAGGCGGCACATTATTGCAGCGTTAAGCTAAAACTTCAAATTCAAACACTTGTATTAAGATAGGTGATAGTTGCAGATGAAATATTTGCAAAATGTGAACACAGAAATTTATTTCTTTGACACATTACAAACAGTAGAGTGTATTGCTCTCTTGATGTAGACTTACGTTTTTGCTTCACCCCTCACTGATTCTTTTAGTGTTTTTTTACGCCAGTCTACTATGGCTAAAAATGCTCTTCTGATTGTCTAATTATACTCGCTCAAACTAAATGGCTGCTTTTCTGCTTGGCATATTCTCGGCAGACATGCACGCACACAGTCAGGCTCACTAAAGTCTCGGCAAGAAGTGAAGAGAAAAGCGGGAACAGTCTGTCGTCTCTTTGTTTCTCTCATTTTCTGTATTTACCATTCTACATCTCTATAGCTGCTTTTCCCTTGTCTTCTTGGTGCTGAACTATCAGCACAACAGGTAATGTAGTGACTGAGCCATGAAAGAAATCCATTGTTGTAGTGATGAAGTGTCCACTGATGCAATAAAATGAGTCTGTGGCTTGTTAGATGTGTGCAATTAACCTTTGACAGACGTGTGGAAGGTGACTATTTAGTACAGAATCTGCACACAGCTGGCGCTCCCAAAAAAAAGTCTGAATAAGCAGGTGCTGGTTGCAGCAAATGTACAAATATGAGCACTGTAATTGCCCACCGCCAAAAGTAAAAGGCCAATAATATTTTAGCCTTTGCCAGCTTGTGCGTACGTTTGTCTTAAAATWGCTAAGGTTTGATCAAAACCTCATGAGATAACATTTGTTTAAAACTCAGGCATTAAAAACATCAGACAATGTGCAATCCTTCTTGAAACTTTATGAAATATAAGCTTGAATCCCCCCAAAATGCTGATGTGCAAATTTATTATTATATCTAATATTCAAAATTGATGTTCTAAGATATCATACACACATTATATATACACTCATCGGCCACTTTATTAGGTACRCCTTGCTAGTACTAGGTTGGACCCCCTTTTACCTTCAGAACTGCCTTAATCATTTTCTTTGTGTCTTTTGAGTCATAGATTCAACAAGGTACTGGAAACATTCCTCAGAGAGTCTGGTCCATATTGACATGAARGCATCACACAGACGCTGCAGATTTGTAGCTGCACATCCATGACGAGAATCTCTCGTTCCACCACATCCCAAAGGTGCTCTGTTGGATTGAGATCTGGTGACTGTGGAGCCATCCGAGTAGTGAACTCGTTGTGTTCAAGAAACCAGTCTGAGGTGATTCATGCTTTATGACATCGAGTATTATCCTGCTGGAAGTAGCCATCAGAATGTTCACTGTGGTCATAAAGGGATGGACATGGTCAGCAACAATACTCAGGTAGGCTGTGGCATTGWCACAATGCTCAGTTGGTACTAATGGGCCCAAAGCAAGCCARGAAAATATCCCCCACACCATTGGACCACCACCAGCCTGAACCGTTGATACAAGGTAGGATGGATCCATGCTTTCATGTTGTTGATGCCAAATTCTGACCCTACCATCTGAATGTTGCAGCAGAAATCTAGACACATCAGACCAGGTAACATTTTTCTAGTCTTCTATTGTCCAGTTTTGGTGAGCCTGTGTGAATTGTAGCCTCAGTTTCCTGTTCTTAGCCGACAGGAGTGGCATCAGGTGTGGTCTTCTGCTGCTGTAGCCCATCCGCATCAAGGKTTGACGTGTTGTGCGTTCAGAGATGCTCTTCTGCAGACCTCGGTTGTAACGAGTGGTTATTCAGTTACTGTTGCTGTTCTATCAGCTCAAACCAGTCTGGTCATTCTCCTTTGACCTCTGGCATCAACAAGGCATTTGTGCYCTCAGAACTGCTTCTCAYTGGATATTTTCTCTTTTCAGGACCATTCTCTGTAAAYCCTAGAGATGGTTGTGGGTGAAAATCCCAGTAGATCAGCAGTTTCTGAAATACTCAGACCGGCCCGTCTGGCTCCAACAACCATGCCACGTTCAAAGTCACTTAAATCATCTTTCTTCCTCATTCTGAGGCTCTGTTAGAACTGCAGCAGATCATCTTGGCCATGTTTCCATGCCTAAATGCACTGAGCGCGGTCATGTGATTAGCTGATTCCACATTTGCATTAATGAACAGTTGGACAGGTGTACCTAATAAAGTGGCCGGTGAGTGAAGGGCTCGACACACAGGAGGCGACGTTGCTCGCTCTCCATTYATTTCCTATGGAGCTTGTGCAATGAGGCGACAATCGCTYKYCCTCCTCCAGCTAAGCGACTGGCGAAAATCGTGCATGTGAAATTTTGCACTCGTACACCTAGACGTGCACACTCAAGCTTGCGAGAAGAYATTTGAAAGTTGAAAAATGTTCAACTTCTGTCGCTGTCATTTAGCGTACAACCAATCAGCGAGGGTTTCATTGACTGACCAATTAGCGGAGAGTATGCTACACACTGCAGTTAGCTAACACATTCACCAAGTGATTACTAAAAAAGGCAGCTTTGTGGGAATTTGCTGGTGCCAGGGTGAAGTTATTCGGTAACTTTGTCCTCATAAAATTGTATCTTGGTGTGCATTTGTTTTTGAATATCATTAGCATCGCAAGATTTGTTTAATTTACACGTCCATAATGCACACCCCCTTTTTTGTGAACCACCAATAACCTTTACAATATGCAGTAG